CTTGTTTTGGACCCCACTGACATTTATTGTACGGACAAAACAGCTTGAATCTTTTTCAAAATCTCTTTTTTCTGCAGAATTTGGCGAGTAACTTTTTGGGTGAACTATCCCTTTAAGAGACTTCTGGACCAGGCCGCATTTATATTAATAAGGAAGCTAGAAAAGGCGTAACTTCCTGTGTTTGGCCTGATCTGTGGTTTTATCGCACTAACCCTGACAGCTCTAGTTTCTATCTGTAAATAAGCCAAAAGGTCAAAACATCAAATTCACCTGCAGCCTGACAGGGGTACAAAACTTTATAGCATCAGCTGCATAACTCACTTATTTCCTGACGACATGCATTTAATGGTGATATGATTTCAGGGTGGGCATTCAGGGTGGTGTTGATGTTACCCCCCCCCAAAAAAAAAAAAAAATCTACTATAAGGGGCCAAAATAGAACATTAATCAAATATAAAAGTAAATAAACAAATTGTAATTCAATTGTATCATTTATAAATTACAACTGAAGCTCTAGACAGTTACCTATGGCTATGATTTTAGTTGTCTGATTGATTTTATGGGCTCAAGAATTCAGAAATCAAACAAAATAAAATAAAGCAGTTTTACTACGATAAAACCATGGTCAATTTTGGTAAGGGTTGTGATGTCCACGTTTTTGTTGAAGAAATTAAAGAGGCTGTAGCATTTCTATCGCAAAAAGTTCAAATTTATTTAAATCGCCAAAATTAAAAATTAAGTGGATATTTGAATTAAATGTCTGGTCAATATTAAACAAGGATTTGATCGTCCTGAAAGTGTAACAACAGCAATTATCAGGCATTTGTATTAATGTAAATTGTTTATTTTGTATTACTTTATGTATTTTAACAGTGTTATAATGAAACCATATTTAAACCATATAGCATATTGCCTCGTAGTTTTTATATAATACATTTTAAGTCATGGAAATTAGAATATTAAGTCAGATGAGTTGTTGGTGGTGGTGAAATTATTACCGACATTAAAACACGTCAACAGACAAAAAAGTTTGACAGGGTGTCGCGTTTGAATCGTCAGTGGCAAAAATGCCACTGACAGCAACCCAGCTTTAATTGCTCTTTCATGCTAACCTTTCAAGCTTTCAACTGACTGTTGACCCACGTTTAAATGCACAACACAACAACCGCCAGACTGTCTGCCGTTCTCAGCAGGGGAAAGTGAGAAAAGAGTTGCGTGGAAACGTCAAGCAACTAATCAAAGCTTTTAAAGGCACTTAAGCTCATCTTTCCTCCGCCTCCGTCGCATTGTTCCAAGCTTGGTTCGGCTGATGAGTGCGTAGTAGAAAAGTGCCACTGCAATCCTTGATTCCCCACGCTCCATGCTTTAACTGTGGGAGGACTCATCAAGACGCGGCCTTGGCAAGAACCTCAACTCCCACTCAGCACTTCAATCATGCTGGAGTTCATTCTCGCAGAGCTTATAGTCCTTTTAAACACAAGCTTTAGTCATTTTACCTTCCAAACAAAACGTTTTCTGGACAAAACAACAGGCCAGCATGCTCACAAAACAAGCTTTTTTTTTTATATTTTAACACTTGAGTCGACTGAATTCATCTTTCATCAGCCAGAAAATATGCTAAGACAGAATTATCGCAGACGTGGTAGAAGAATACTGGCACACGACACTGATTGGTCACTGGGTAGTAGGTGCTAACAATCTACAATTAACACTTGCATCAGACAATATTCCCTCTCCGCTGTCCTGATTCTCTGTATAATCACCTCATATGTGGTGAAGTTGGCATCACTGATTCTGTTACTTCCCTGTTTAATACTGTGAAGCTGCTTTGAACAATCTCTATTGTATAAAGCGCTATATAAATAAAGGTGACTTGACTTGACTGACTATAATTCTCCAGTTCAAACCTTTCTCAACACGGATGACTGTCCATTGTGGCTTACAAAACAAATCCCACAAAAACATTTTTCAGACAGCCTGCGATTGCACATACGTGTGGCGGAAAATCCAGGTGTTGGAGTGCTTAAACTGAAAGGAGACATTCAGTGAAACCTGGAACCAATTTGGAGCTGAAATGCTCCCGTTCCTGCAAAAAAGAAGAACAGGGATTCTAGACAGAAAGAGAGTTCGGTTCTTTTTAATGAGGAGGGTTTTTTTTTTTTTGTCTGTAGCGATTTAGATCGCTGAATGTCTGACTTGAAAATGGAGATGCAAGTCAGTATGGATCCAGAACTAGACGACTACTAAAGAGCCCAGTGCTTTCAGCTCATTACAGAGACTGTCTAATTAAGTCCGATCAGCCAAAACACAGTGAGCTGACAGCAGCACATAAGGGACTGAGAGGAAAGAATACTCTATATATGTCAGTGGACACACTAGTTTTAATCCAAAACAAGTCAAAGTTCCCCGGGTGCTTCTATACCCATGAAGCCACAGACCTAATGATCCAATTAGTTGTAGTACTCTACTGCGTCTCACCTCTTTGACATAAGAAACTCCCATGAGCCCTTGATAAGTTGATGCTTAAATGCATCAAATGCATCACCTAACCAAGGGTCAATCCTATTTTTGTGTCTAAAGTAGGATTATAAGTATGAGGTTAATTGGGATCACACAGATAACTTCAGTTAGTTTAGTTCTACTTCAGACAAAAGAGCGAAGCTGAAGTGACACAGTTCTCACTGATGTTGCCTAAACCATAAAGCAAAAGGTTGAAAGCAGATGTACTACAGTGATGTGAATAATGTTATTAGAGTCAATGTTGTGAACTGATGATAAATGTAAACCTATGGACTTAATCTACTAAATTAGTAATACACACACAAAACAATGCATACATTTCCTAGTATAAAATATTAATATAAAATTAAAATTAACGATGAAATTGTCCATTATGTATATTAACTGTAACTGTTAAGCCCACCAAAATCAGTTTGCATTCTCAGTCACTCATTTTAAGATTATATATATATATACATACATATACATATACATATATACATACATATACATATATACATATAGAGAGTCCTAAAGTAATATATACTCCTACAGTAATACAGAAAAAACACCTGTAATGCAAAATCAAATGTTTATTTTTCGTACTTGACAGCTTTAGCGGTTTCAATTTCATGAATCCCAGGTGCTTTGCATATTCAGACCACTGTAAGTATCATGCATCCCCACTAATATCCCTATAATGGTCTAATTCACTTATGAGAGATTTGCTTCTACGTAATGTTTGCACACTAGAGCTTAAAACTTTATTGATCTCATTTAATTCATGCCAATTCATCCCATGCAGCCTGAGCCAACCTGTCAAATAAGCCATCAACATGTATGTCATTAGACTTTTTAAGTTATCCGAAAGTCAGTCAACACAACAGACGTCCCGACTTGCTTATATTTATATCACACATAAACTGAATGTCACCCGTCAGCTACCAGCGCGGGTTAGCTAACACACAACCAGGCGAACTGGATAAAAACGTATGGTTTCACATAGAAAACGTACCTTTGACGAGCCGTTCGGTGGTGGATTGTTTATTCTGCTCCTTCCCCGACATTCTTCAGTGTCTTTCGGTGGAATAATTGTAATTCCTCCTTGTAGCTGAACCCAGCTAGTCGCGTTAGCCCGCTAGCTCGGCTAAGCTACTGCCGTTTCCCGACATTCTTCAGTGTCTTTCGGTGGAATAATTGTAATTCCTCCTTGTAGCTGAACCCAGCTAGTCGCGTTAGCCCGCTAGCTCAGCTAAGCTACTGACGTTTCAGTTCGCGAGGAAGAAAAGTCCTGACCGCTCCGCTGTAAAAGCGGGGAAACGGAGTCAGAGTGCTCGTCCGGGTCGGCTTGTTGATATGTACGCTCAAACGGTGGGGGAAAGGGGAAGGGGGAGCCCACTGTAACGGCAGAGTTTTATTTTCTGCCGTGTCTGTCCTTCGGGTTTGCTCACACAGGCGACCCAGCTGCTGTCAATTTCTCTGAGGGAGTAGCGATGTCCGACTCGTGAACGAATCGTTCGCTTGAGTCGAATCTTTTCAGGGAATCGTTTGAACCTGTTTATAAATCCTGTCGTGGACGAAAAAGACCGAATCGGTTCTCGAGTCAACAATTCACCGACTCATTGAACCTCTTTTGGACGTGTCCTATTCATAATGAGCTAAAACCTGATGAGTGAGTTGATATAAATAATGTAAAGTAATAATTATTCCTAATCAGATTAACTGGAAATAATTATGACACTTTAATCAATCTGGACACATTAACAACTTTTTATTAAAACTCGTAGTAATCTGCAATATGTGCCAACAAATGGCGCAATTTTAGAGCATGTTATATGCCACGCAGGTGACGCAATTGCGTAATGAAGTAAAATAATCACTAAATTGATTTTATGAACTGGTTATTTAAAACGAACTGTTCAAAAGAACCGAGTCCAAAAAAATGACTCAGACTTCATCTCTATGAAGGAGGGGAGGCGGAGGGAGAGTGAGCAGCGCGACAATAAAAGGCTTTGTACGAGATGTTGCCTGTTTTTGTCAAGCGAGCACAGTGGCTTGTATATAATAAATACGTATTCTGGTTCGATTTTATTGTAACGATCGATTTTCGTGTCTCAATGTTTTGTCTTTCTTCTTTCTTCTTTCTTCTTTCTTCTTTCTTCTTTGATCCGCTGACTCGCCCTGACTCCCTTCTTGCGGATTAAACTAATCCACAGTGCAAACGGATTTCCTACAACATGGCGGCTTCTTCTCAGCACATATGTTTGTGGGTAGTGTAGTTTTTAACATACAGCTAACGCTATATGACGTCAGTTATATGCATCGCTATGCAATTATCCGCTAGAATAATCTTGATGACGTGAATATTTTTATATATCCAGACAGTACATAACAGCTAACGATATGACGTCAGTTATATGCATCGCTATGCAATTATCCGCTAGAATAATCTTGATGACGTGAATATTTTTATATATCCAGACAGTACATTAATAGAAACACACAAGAAGGAGGAGGTTAGAATTATGAATAGGAGAGAATTAATAAACAGTAATCCAGCATTGTCACCCAGTGGTCAACTAGAGAAACGTCTGATTGTTTCATTGTTGACTTGAAAGATGTATGGTAAAACTGATTTTTTTTAAAAAGTGGGTTTTATTTATTTACACACCACGACATGTATGAGTGGATCCAGACGTAGGCTACATTCTACCACCCCATAATTACCTGCATATGGGAAAAATATTCTCATTTAGTCTTTAGGTCAGACCTATTGTTTTCTTTTCTTTACAAAACTGAATCAGAGAAACTGTGAATAATTTTGTTGATTTAACAGACACAGTAGCCATAAAGAGGGTATAAATATGACAAAGTAGGCCTACATTTAAAATATAAATGTATAATAAAGAGAGTGCTAATTTACAAGTAACTAGTTACATGCAACAGCGTTACGTAATTACAAAATAAATGTAACTGTATACAGTTCCAGAGAAAAATGTGTAATTAAATTACAGCTACTTATGAAAATGTTAACGATTACTAAGGGGGTCACATCTGAATATTTTCTGCAAAAAGCTCAAAAAGTGTTGAATAATATAATTGAGCTTTGCCTGTTTTTGATATGCACAGTGCCTCCTGTCATTTGAAGGCCATTTAGTAAAGCGATGCTATTCTGATGCTTTTGATTGGTTCTCTTGTTTGAATTTGCAGCGCACAACGTCTACCAATGCATCAATCCACATTGCTGCTGAAAGCTTTCGGCTATAGGGAGCTGCCACCATGGCAAGTGATAAAAATGCATTTCAGTGCTGGAAATTAAAAAATCAAAAATTGGAACCATCTCAAAGTAAAAAAGAGGTGCTAAAGTCTGATTTTGTGGTGACTGTGCTTTAAAATTAAATTATTAAAATCTTAATTCAAATGAAGAAAAATGTTGAAAGTCTGACAGTTATTAGTGTTGAGTACTGTAAGGTTAATGCTGCCTGGTTTAAATGTTTGAAAATGATTAGCAGTTGAAAACATTCGTTAGAAATGTAGACAAGTAATAAAATGTAATCAGTTACATTACTTTAATAAAGTAATTGAAATAGTTACACTACTTATTACATTTTGAATGGGTAACTTGTAATCTGTAACCTATAACATTTCCAAAGTGACCTTCCCAACACTGCCCATCGTGTAGCTAATTTGATGTAGACACTACTTATTTCATTTTGAATGGGTAACTTGTAATCTGTAACCTATAACATTTCCAAAGTGACCTTCCCAACACTGCCCATCGTGTAGCTAATTTGATGTAGGCTATTCTAGATTCATAGGCAAAATATACACTGACAAAGGAGATCAGAGTGGCTAAGAGAAACTACTCTGAAAAGCTGAGAAACCAGTTTTCAGACAATGACCCTGCATCAGTGTGGAAAGGATTGAAATATATCACCAATTACAAGACACCATCCCCCATCACTGTTTTGAATCAACAACTGGCTGATGATTTGAATGAGTTCTATTGCAGGTTTGAAAAACCCTATCTCACACCCCACACCCATTCTGATCTTCTCTCCATGGATCTATTAACACCTCAAGCAACCCCCCTCTCCCCCTCCTGCACTTCAGGTCTGTGAAAGAGATGTGCATCAGGTCTTCCGGAAACAGAAGACAAGAAAAGCACCAGGCCCAGACGGCGTTACACCAGCCTGTCTGAAATCCTGTGTTGACCAGCTGGCCCCCATCTTCACACAGATCTTCAAGAGATCACTGGAGCTGTGCGAAGGCCCTTCCTGCTTCAAATGCTTCATCATCATCCCCATCCCAAAGAAACCCAAAATCACAGGACTGAAGGACTACAGACCTGTTGCTTTAACGTCTGTGGTCATGAAGTCATTTGAAAGACTGGTGCTGGTCCACCTGAAGGTCATCACTGGACCTTTGCTGGACCCCCTGCAGTTTGCTTACCAAGCAAACAGGTCTGTGGATGACGCAGTCAACATGGGACTGCACTACATCCTACAAAATCTGGACAAACCAGGGACTTATATGAGGATCCTGTTTGTGGATTTCAGCTCGGCCTTCAACACTATCATCCCAAACCTCCTCCTGTCAAAATGAACTCAGCTCTCTGTGCCCACCTCCATCTGTCAGTGGATCACCAGCTTCCTGGCAGACAAAAAGGGAAAATTCTCATCCAATACGATCAGCACTGGCGACCCCCAGGGATGTGTGCTCTCCCCACTGCTCTTCTCCCTCTACACCAATGACTGCACTTCCCTCTGTCAAACTCCTGAAGTTTGCAGATGACACCACACTTATCAGCCTCATCCAGGATGGAGATGAGTCTGCTTACAGACAGGAGGTTAAAGAGCTGGGATACAGTTCTACTCTGCAGTCACTGAATCAGTCCTCTGCACTTCAACAACTGTCTGGTTCAGCTAAGTTACCAAATCAGACCTTAGAAGATTGCAGCGGATAGTCAAGACTGCTGAGCAAATCACTGGTACAACCAACCCTCCCCACTCACCAAGACTCATCCAGAGTGAGTAAAAGAGCTGGCAAAATCATTCTGGACCCCTCACACCCAGCCCACTTCCTCTTTGAACTGTTGCCATCTGGTCAGCGCTACAGAGTACTGAACACCAGAACAGCCAGGCATAAGCACAGTTTCTTCCCTCAGGCAGTCCATCTCATGAACACTTAACTTGGCAATAAACATGTAACACACAACACTATTTGTACATTTATTTATTTAACACACCATACTTCTTATTCACATTTCCTTGCATTTGTACATAACACACCTGTACACACAAATGCCATCTATTTTCTATTTGTATATTGTGTATTTTTGAAAATATTTGTTGTATATAATTATTTGGAAGCTTCTGTTACTAAAACAAATTCCTCGTATGTGTAAACATACCTGGCAAATAAAGCTTTTTCTGATTCTAAAAAAAAAAGAGCTTGTCGAAGTGCATCTGTATATATATATTTTAAATATTTGTTGTATTGTTATTTCCTATTTACTTATTCTGTTTTTACTATCTGTGTCTTGTCACTGTAATCTGCTTGTGCTGTGGAAGCTTCTGTCACCAGAACAAATTCCTCGTATGTGTAAACATAACTGGCAATAAAGCTCTGGAATGGAAAGTTTTTGAAGTCAAGATTTATCACCAGAGGGCGACATTCTACTGCACAGAGAGGGCGCTATTTTTTTTTTATGCATTAACATTAAAATATGAGCAAAATGAATGTTTGCTTACAAAACATATCTGAATATCCCCTCTCAAATGTGATATCATGCCGGAACATAAGTGATGGTGATGGATAATTTTGAATGTTACAACTCACTGCAGACCCTATAGGCTAATATGTATGGGAAAGGTGTGAGAGTGTTTCATTAGGCTACCTTGAGTATTTTGGAATTGGATTGGTCATTACTGAATGCATTAAAACTGCTTCTGTCTGAATTATTATTATTATTAATTATTATTATTATTATTATTTTGATGCCAATTAAAATAATAGCTTCAATAATAGCTAGATATAAAACAGAATATTAATAGCTAAAGTGAAATCATTCCGCTCGAAAACCTGACAGAACGTTGCTATGCAACAAAAAAATCTAGTTGAACAGTGATATTAATGCTGTTAAAACAGGATTCGAAC